AAAAAAAAATAAATGTATAAATATTAATAGATTTGTTTTAGTCTCGGATAAATTTTTTTTTTCTTCAATTGAACAACTATTGTTTACCAATGCTACAGTTTCGGTGCATATTTTATCAGTTAATATCATATTTTCTATCGATATTTTGTTAAAAATAAATTAAATAAAATTACAAAAAATTCATTTTTAATTTTCATTAATAATACAAAATCAGAATTACATTTTATTGATTTAAATCCTTTTTTTTTTTTATTTACAACTTCCTTCCTGTCAAACCGAAATTAAAGTTATAACATGCAAATTATTACAAAATAAGACACTTTTTATTATTCAAAATATTTAGATATTTTATTTTTTTTTTTTTGTTTAATTTAAAAAAAAAGAAACAAAAATGCTCGTAAAAAATTAAAAATCAGAAAATATTTAATGTATTTTTCTCTTAAAAAATTGCAAATTTATCTATAAGAGAAGCTTTCCGAGACAAAGTTAAGTTAATAAAACATTTTTTTTTTTTTTGTAAACTTTTTATTGATTTTTTTTTAAAGTTTTAAATACAGTCAATACCGAAAGTTTATAAATTGTTATATTCGTGTTCATGTAGTAAATTTGTAAATGAATGACGTCAGTTTTGGGAATATGTTTTTGAAGCAGTAAAATAATAATAATAATAAAAAAAAATTACAAGAAAAAAAGGCAAAAACTTTTTTGAATAGAATAATGGTATTACATTGATAAAAAAAACTTGAAAAATAAAGAAGTACAGTATTAAACACGTTTCACATCAATATACTGTATATATAGAAAGAAGAAAAAAAATTATTAAAAGAGAAAAGAAAATTATAAAAAGTTAGAAAAATTATCAAAAAATCTTTACAATTTTATGCAACGTTTTCTGATTTTTTTTTATAACTTTAATCATTGTAAATTTATAAAATTATTTACGAATACGTATGTTTTTTTTTTTTAAATGGAGATTAATAGCGTAAACAATTACATTAAGGAATATTTTTTAACATTGTTATTACGAAGTAAGAGCGGAAAATTTTTCAAATGTATACTTATAAAATTTATTAAAAAGATTCAAAATGAGTTTTTTTTTATTGTGTTAAAACACAGAAAAAAATTAGAAAATAGAAAAGAAGTTGTTGGATTTTTTGGAAAGTTCAATTTTTCACACACGATAGTAGAGAGTTAAGAAATGAAGAGATTTTGTACGGGAGAAGAATGAGAGATTTTGTGAATTTACAAATGGCAGAAATCGGAAGAATTTGTTGGATGGTCGAACAAAACGGGAATATGAAAATGTTAAAAAAAATGAAAGAAGAAAAGAGAGAAAAAAATCCTTTTTTTTGTCGAGTCGGAAGCAGAGAAGCAGTAGTTGTTCATTACGATCGATAGCTTAGAGAGTTCCACCATCCTACTAAATTATCGATTAGCTGATGGAAAAGTTGACGTGAAGAAACTAAACTATTCGTAACAGTTAACTGTGCTTTCATCGAAATGTTAAACGTAAACATTGCGGGCGATTCCATTGTAAACGTACAGATTTGACCGAGCATCCATTCCGAGTGCGTGGCCAATCAACAGATTACAAATGCGATAAAATGTCTCGGAGAAGTATCGATTAGTCGAAAAATTCCCGAACGTATTACAAAAATAACCGTATCAGACGTAAGATGCCATCCTTGTTTACGGACCGGTGTACAAATTTATTACGTCACGCGGAGTTGCGAGCGGATGCGAACGGATTGAAAATTCGGTGGCGGTGGAGAATTTCTTGCGAATTGGAAACGAAGGAATCAACAACCACCTGTCCGGTAGTCGTACTTTAGGTAGTTTCGCACTCGCCCTCCAAATCACGTCCGACGCTTAAAATAAAACGTAATAAATACACGCGAGTACGAAAAGAGATAAAAAATGGTGGATGGAGTACGATTAAGACGGATTGAGCGAAAATCTTAGTTCGATTCCGACATCGGTCGGGACGAACAGTTTGGACGAAGTTTGGCGGACGAAAATAGTTCGGTTCGACCGATTTACTCCTCTCACCTTACACCGCCAAGTAGTGCCTCTTTTAAGCGCTTTATTTGCACAATTGGGAAGCGAATTTCGTAAAATACGTTCTTCTCGGCTAGTTTTTAAGGATTATCCGCGTAATTTGGGGGCCGGGGAGAGTCCCCGAGCCGTATTTGGGCGGACGAGCGATCGTCATCTAAGAACGGTTTCGACTTGGTTGGTCAGTGTTGTTCTTAACTCAAAGAGTAGCTTTCGTCAACTCTTTGAAACTCGTCGTTCACCATTTTAGAGTCGCCGAGAAGTTCGTAAGTCGATTCGTCATCAAACTGGAACGTTTAAGGATACAGAAGATGGATCTGCAGACGTTGCAAGGTCAACTTAAAACAGCAATCCAAAACCATCAGGTAGTTAAAGTGTGCACTCCGGTTGAAACGAAAAAAAATCGCGCCGATTTGCATAATTTGTTTGTTTTTACTATTTTTAAAATACTTGTAAGTTTAGAGTGTCACTGGGAAGCATTTTTGAACGGTTTCGTCGATTATAAAATGGGCGAAAGGACGTTAATAAAGTTTATGGCGATCGTTATTGGGACACAACTCACTTTCCAACTGTTCTACTTCGCTTTGAAATTGCTCAAAGAGCTTCCATTGACCTCGAATGGCGGTCATTATGACGTTTCTGACAACTTTGTTCATTCCAGATCGTCGTCTGCAAGATGAGGAACGATCCTCAGGTAGGCTTCACTTTATCGATCCTCATTGTCCACAAATTGAAGTTTGTTCAAAAGCCGGTTGTCACTTGGAATCTTTCTACAATTTAAGTCAAACAAAAAATTTTTGCAGAATTCTCTACTTCAGAAACAACTTCATGATCTGCAAGCTGAAATAAGGAAGTTAAGTGATAAACAGGTGAGGCAATTTTTCTTTTTATCCTTTCATTTATTGAATTAAAAATTATCATCCCAAAGTTTGTGGGCATCCGCGTCTCGTTCGGTCATCTTGCAAAGATTGTCCGTCCGCCGCCGTTGGACTCTGGCGGGGTGGTGGAAAAGTTTGTTTACCCTTCTCCAAAGTTTCCGACGTGTGTTTTCGTTGGCATAAGAGACGATTCCGCGGCCGAAGTGTGTCCGGAGACGTTCGGATTTTGTTTCTCCACGTTTGCCGTCGAGGTCGGGGTTGAAATTTGCTTAAGATTTGCGTTTCGATAATTTAATCGGGTAATTTTGGCCGAGGTTGTGAGAATTCCGTTGACACTACTCGAAATTTAGTTAATGAGATAGTTCTACTTTGTTACGAACTATAAAAGAAAGTCGAGATGTGTCTTAAAAAGTTTGTTTACTTTTTAAAAGTTTTTAATTCTGACGATTTGGAATATTTCTCTCTTTATGGTTTATTTGGCGGAAAGACGTAGTTATTTTGTAAGCTTTTCGTTATGGTCACCGGTGCGAGACGTTTCTCGGAGACCGGAGATGGACGGGTCCTTTGCGGTCGGGCGGCGTTTGAAACTCTCGGTTCGTGCGCGGTTACGTACGTGATTTGTTTGTTGTTGTTGACGTATGAAAGTCGTCTCTGACCGTGGATGGAAAAAGTTAGTTTTAAAAGCTTAGTTTTTATTAGAGATGTTTGTTTAGACTTTTAAGAACTTTAATATATATGTGTTAAACTTTCATGCCATTGGAAAAGCTAGAAAACGATTCAGAGAGCTGCAATTGGAGAATGGAATAAGCATTCTTATAAATTATATATTTTATTGATTCTGAATATTTAAATGACATATATTAATTATTATTTATTAAAATGTTGTTCAATTATATTCTTGATTCTTTTAAGAAGAGTTATATGAATTGTTTATATTTATATTATGTACAGAATGAAATATTAATGATACTTACATTAATTACATTTCAAACTGTTTTACTTGTTTAATTATGTGAAATGTAATATGTCTATTGTTTGTGACTAATTATTGTTGTATTATACCATAATTTATTCTGTTGTAATTTAATTTAAATTACACAATATTATGTTTGCATTTTTAAAGATACTTTGTAAAAACATCTTTTGAAATTCAATTTTGGTACAGATTTCATCTCTATTATCATTTTGTTGTTACCGGTTACTTTTTAAATATATTCAAATAAATTGTCATAATTTTGATTTACTAATAATCGTTTTAAAAATTCAATTAGTTGAGTTTATATAATGATCCAATAATCTGTTTTAGATGATGATCCAAAAATCAAAACTTGATCTTGATTTTTAATGTGTTAAATATGAATTAAATTGTGATGATGCATTCTTGAAATGTATCCTGTTTTTCTTACAAATAATGATCAAATTCATACTTAAAACTTGTAATAAAATGTTTTACATTTTATTTGAAACTGATGATAGATTGAATGAAGTATTTCCAGAGCAATTGGTTTCAGAATATGGGAATTTTCAACAGGGATATACTCTATTTCTCAGTAATATTGGTCTTTTTGATTTTTCAAACAAGTAATAAATGTTGGGAAACATTTCATTAATACTTTTTCCTTGCAAAATCTTACAGAAAAAGTTTTTGTTTGAATTATTGAAAGCATCAAAAGTTAACTTTTACATAGTCTTATATTTCAATATTTAAATAAATTATAGTATTATTCTCAAGTTTTAAGATTAAATCTTAAAAATTGTATAGCACTGTTTTAATATATTGCATATTCAAAAGGAATAAGCTGAGAAAGCATGTATGGAAAGTAACCAGAACTTTTAATTTCTAAATTAAGAAAATGTTTTTTTTTTTCTTAAGTTCTTTTGTTTTTTCCTCGAGTCAACCAAAAACATATTTAAGATATTTTTGCATTTAAAGTAAAGAATAACTCTAAAGATATATTTTATGCTTTATTTTAAAAAAATTTTGTTTTGGTGAGGTTATTGTTGTTGAAAAGCTATTATTGGAAAGTTTTATTATTTCTTTCTGATATTATTTATGTAAAACATAAAATTTTAACATATTAATCATAGTTTATAAGAACAAATTATTAATTTTCAATTTTGTTGTTGCTGTTGAAATTTTAGATCATATTGATTAAAATATATGTTGCTATAAAAAGGCTTAAGCTTTTTATAGCAATTACAACAAAGAAGCTTGTCAAGCTCTCTACATTATAAGTTAAAAACAAATAAACTTTATATTTTAAATATATTTTAAACTGTTATCTAATACAAAAAAATTTTAATTTTTTAAACTCTTAATTATTATGAATTGTATGTTGATTAGTTGATTCCAAATGAAGAGATGAAACTTAGAAACAGTGGAATGAATTGGTTTGAAATGATTTGCATAATAAAAGAAAATTCACTATTATTATATGCATTAATATTTTTTACTTGATGTTAATCAAGAACATTTAGAGTAGTATTTTTAAATTGAAAGCGATACTACATAAATTTTTGTTCATCATCAATGATCTTTAATGAATTTAGAAACTATCGTTTTCTAATCAAATTATATTCATATTATTTTCATCAGATAATGTTGTTCATAAATCTTGATGAAATACAAACATTTTATAGTTTTAATAAATTAATAAGTTTTATACAGCTTTTTATATTACTTATGAATTTGCTTTACTTCAAAGGCAGCTTTACTGGTTGTTTAGTCCTTTTGAACAACATTGGAAACACTAATTTTTCTCCAAACTCCATAGCTGTTTTTTTAAGATAAGTGTAAACTGATTTATAGAAATATAATTTCATTTAAAGTTTAGATTATGGTTTTGTATTTTGGATAAGACCACAAACTATTGTATTTTAATGCATTGCTAGTAAAATGTTTATAAAATGTAAGCTTAAATCAATACAATAAATATATATCTTAATAAATTAGAAATTGTCTAATTGACTAAAATTAACACTTGTTTTTAACTTCAAACTTATTAAATTTTTTTCAATGATTTTGATGATGATGCCTAAAATTATCTTAAATCAGAACATCTTAATTACATTATTTTAACTAATGCTATTAGTGATAATTTCTTTAAGTCTGTTTCATAGATGTTTTGTCAAATAACAAACTACAGATTTGCGAATATTCCATACAGATAGCCGAAAAATAAACATACTTCAATTTTATAATTCTGGTTATCTGTCACAATATTGTCATATTTTACAAATTGCAGAAATAAGTTTTTTTGTAAACAAAAAATATTTTCTGGTATCTAACAGAAATTATCTTACTGTAGTCAAAACGATTAGGAAATAGAATTGACATCAGAGTTTTCAATATAAAATAACATGAGAGTATTGCAATACAAATTTTAAAATAATAATAATAATTGTATTTTGATTTCTTCAAAAATCAAAGTCAATAAAAGATAAAACAAGTTATACTCCCTCATAACAAGATAAAATATTTTATAATTACATTATTGTAAATATATCTTATCTTTGTTCAATTTTAGAATTGTATTCTTTAATTGAAAGTTTATAATTCGAAGTAATTTAGTCAAATGAGGTGTTAACAAACTTATTTCATTTAATTTAATTATCATGAATTTAATCACCATATTTTATGGGCACAAGAAAAAATTTGTGAAGTATAAATAACAAATAAGCATAATAGCTGATATTTATGCAAAGGAATGGTTATATAAAATTAAATTAACCTTGGACTAAACTCGGTAAAACTGCAAAAACTATTTGAATACTTTTGAAATGCTTGTTAACAGTTTAAAATTAAAAGAAATGATAAAGCAAACAAAATAAATTAATATATAGCTATAAGTGATAAGTTATTGTTAAATTTCTATTTGAACAACATATTTTGGATTAGCAGCCATTTATTTATCATTTGATCAATTACATATGATTATCTTTTATTTTAGAAAGCTATTTTACTTTTATTTTACAATTTAATGGTCAGTGAACTTTCTTAAGATTCTAAAATGATAAACAGTTCAATAATATTAGTGAAGAAGAATGATATAAGTTACAAAAAAACATTTATATAATTGGCTTCAAATTTGCATAATTCTGCCATAATAACAATTTTATTATATTTAAATGCATTATTTATTTATTTATTTAGATTAAAATATTATTTTAATCTTTAAGAACACAATGCGATAAGTAGTTTTGTCATTATAATTAACTGATTAAACAAATTTTATTAATAAATATGAATGCTAGATAAAAATTTTTTAAACTTAATCAAATTTATTTTCATACACTGATGTAAACTTGTAATATATAATTTACACTATATAAATACATTATTCATATTTATAAAATTAGTTTTTTATTATTTATTTATTTCTTGTGTTTAGATGTACTAATATAATTTTTGTTTATCATTTTAATGCTGTCTTAATTCATATTCATGAAAATTATCATTGATTACAATTAATAAATAGTCCCATTATAAGTTTAATCAATTATTTTTACTTTTTTAGAACAGTTGTTTATGATAATGAATTTTTGGTGTGCTTTTAGTTAAACTTTGTTTTATATACTGTATATGAAAATTAGGCTTGTGAAATACAAAAGTTTACATCTTAATGTATTGTTTGCATTTGAATACAGAATTGAGGATTAAGTGAAGACAATCAAATTTATTGTAACTACTTATGTGATTTCAAGCTTAATCTTTGTCAATTTGTTTGTGCATTTTATCTAATGATTAATCAGATATTGATACGGTATTCTAATTTTTGATTGGTTATTTCTATAAATCCTAATGCAATTGCAAAATTGATTTAGTAAATACTAGAATAAAATAGATGTTAGGCTGTATTATGCATAATTAATGACACCATTTTTTTAAAAATATTTGCAAAGATGCATGAAATTCTATTAGTTATTATATCATTGTTAATTTAGACAATATAATTGTATACAAATAATGTAATGTAAATCAATCTCTTCTT